GCCTCCGCTAAAGTCTCCGCTAACGCCTCTGCTGACGCCTCCGCTAACGCCTCCGCTAAAGTCTCTGCTGACGCCTCCGCTGACGCCTCCGCTAAAGTCTCTGCTGACGCCTCCGCTGACGCCTCCGCTAAAGTCTCTGCTGACGCCTCCGCTGACGCCTCCGCTAAAGTCTCCGCTGACGCCTCCGCTGACGCCTCCGCTAAAGTCTCCGCTAACGCCTCCGCTGACGCTTCCGCTAAAGTCTCTGCTAACGCTTCCGCTAAAGTCTCTGCTAACGCTTCCGCTAAAGTCTCTGCTAACGCTCCCGCCTCCGCTAAAGTCTCCACTGACGCCTCCGCTGACGCTTCCGCCTCCGCTGACACCTCCGCTGACGCCTCCGCTAACATTTCCGCAATCGACTGGCACGAGCGCATGTGTTTGTAGCTATGGAGGGAAATGGAGGAGACGACAAGAACTGTGTAAAGTTTGGGAACATGATAGGCTGAACAGAAAAGGCGACACAGCTCAAAGCTTCCTCTGGAGAACTGGAGTAACCACGTCGTCCATGTTGCAGCGTGTGAAGAGGAAACAGCCGCTGCAGCATCGAACTCGTCCGCAGCTGCAACAGGTATCACGTTCTCTTTGTAAAATACGTTAAACTAAATGTGTGATCATCGGTCATGTTACAGAAATGAGGCCTGTTGTTGCCAACGTTAAATCTACTGACTGATCACAGCGTCTTCCTGGCAGAGTCTGAACGATGTGTGAGGAACAAACTGTGCAGGACTCGATGAAAGTTTGTTAAAGATCAAAGCAGCAACAGACCGACACATTTATTCATTGATGAACTTCCATCCCGACTTAAATTAAATATTTAGGGTGAATATTTCAAGTGTAAATGTTTTTACACGAGTTAGTAGGATTCTTTTCTTCTTGCTGCTGTTTATGACTGAAAACTGATTAATCTGCGTTTATTACTACCGTCATATTTGATTATAGCTCATCAATCAAGACGAAATAATAAAACAGTCTGCAGAACTCTAACTTTACATCATCTATCTTACTCAGTTTAACAAAGATTCATTCAGTTTTACAATCCATAAAAATTATTTACAGCATTTAGATTCTTATGTGATGTTAAAAATAATTCAGTGACAGAGTTTTAATTAAATCCTCCTCAAACCTCACACATCAATAAAAAGCATAAATCAAATACAACTGACACTAATGTTACTTTGATCGCAGCAGGTCATCAGAAAGTGTAACTACTTAATCTTAAATACTTTAGTAATATCCAGTGAACATATTTATTTAAGGCATAACAAACAAATAATAATTTTATTCTTCTTTTCAGTGAACGTCAGAGTCGTACGTTGGACAGCTTCGTCCAAAGAGCTCCAGGATGTTGTCGAGTTCACAACCAGCATTTTAAACGTGATCATCACAGACATGCAGCTGCTGTCCTGGTGCAACAGGAAGGATCCACAACATCTTCACCTTCACTCCAAATCATGTCCTTCCTTCCAGATCCTACTTTGTAAATTCCACTCAGTTTTACAATTCATAAAAATTATTTTACAGCTTTTAGATTTTTATGTGATGATTAAAAATAATTCAACTTAAGCAATAAAATATTTTAAAAAGAGGAATTAAATGGGTTGTTTATTTAATGTTCTCTGTATTTGTATCACTCATAAAATGAGTACGGTAGTTACTGCAGAACCTGACACATTTAATTTTCGATTACCGATTAATCGTCAGAATAATCTATAGATTACTGGAATACTCAAATATTGCTTTACAGCAGCTCTACTGCTGTTCATTCGTACTCATCTGCTCACACAGACTCGTGTTCGTGCTGCTGTTGTTCAGTGTTCAGCTTTTTTCTCAGTCATCACTGTTGTTCTTTACATTTTATACTTTTGTTGGATGTAACTGGACCCTGAGGACATAATTTCGTTCCACCACATGTGATGCAAATGCCAATGAAGAACCTGGACCTTGTAAGATGTTTGATCCTCTGGTTCTCCCCCAGGCATTACATCGTTCTGACTGCCAGTGCCTCCACTGAAGAGAACCACTTGGAATGGTGAGTTAAAGAAACATTGGAGCATTGGTTCTGGTCATCGTCGGTGAACAGAACCAATGGAAGCTGTTAGTCATTCTGCTCGAACCGATCACTGGTTCTGTCGTCTCCAGGATCGGACTGGTCGAGTCAAAGATTCGGGTTCTGGTAGGAAACCTGGAGAGGAACGAGTTCATCACTCTGGCTCACGTCAACCCTCAGTCCTTCCCAGGGTCCAAAGAAAGCAGCAATGAGTGAGTCCGAGTCCCTGACAGGACGATCCGGATGAGCAGCAGAACCTGACCCAACTCATGTGTCTCTGCAGGAACCGGTTTGTGTCCATGTGGTTCATTGGAATCATTTTCAAGAAGGTGGAGAACGCAGAGAGCGTCAACATCGACCTGACCTTCGACATCCAGTCCTTCACGGACACAGGTGGGTTCTGAATGGACAGGAATCGGGTCAGACAGCCGTGTCCATTGTCAGTTGGCTGTAAGTTGTGGTGTGTGCAGTGTACCGACAGGCGAACAACATCAACATGCTGAAGGACGGCATGAAGATCGAAGCGACGCATGTGAAGAAGAAGCAGCTGCATCAGTACCTGCCTGCTGAGCTGGTGCAGAGGAAGAAACGGGTCAGACCTCGTCCTCCTGCCTTCCACCAGTTCTGATCCAGTCTCCTGAACATCTTTCTGTTGGTCCTGCAGAGCATCGCTGAGCTGAACCGGAGCTCCAACAGTGACGGCTCCAAACGGATCTCTCTGGACAGCAGCCACTTGGACAGCTCCAGAGACACGGACTCCGGGACCCCCTTCACCTCCCCGACCAGCAGAGCCC